CCTTTGGTATTTTTTTCGTTCCATGTTACATTTGGAGACTTATCCCTATTGATGGATGTTGATCTAGTTTGTTCATTTGAACCGTGGTTGATTATCTTATTGCACTTATAAAGCAGTTTATTTTTTGTTTTCCTGCTGGGAGGCAGTTAGGCTCCTCTTTGTATTTCTATTACATACTAAGGTGCAATAAATATCCGTGGACATGTATGCTTCTGCATATGAGTATGCGTCTCTGGGACACGGTGGAAAATATTGCTGGTGTCCCACTCGGATGCCTTTTACCTGTAGGTGTTCCCACCCTCTAGCTGTGAGTGTTGACACTAAGGGCTCAGAGCTACTCCCTTCTTGGGAACTCCCTTGCCCACAGTTACACCACTTCTCCATCCTTCCTATGGGGTGGCCATAGCTGATGACTGAGTGACATGGGGGTAGAAAATTTTGGCTCCCTTGCCTCGAGGTAGACCGACTCTGCGTTGTCACTCCTGCCCCAGAGCTCCCATGGGATCAGATTGAAGCTAATCTCCAACCGAGAACATATCACTGCCTAGCGCTTCCACCTTATCTGCCATCCCATCTCCCTTTCACCTAAGAGCTCTGCTTCAATAAATCACTGCACAAGAATCCCTGACTCAGGCCCTGATTAGGAAACGGAACCTAAGAGGCACACATTAGTGGCAGAGTTGGCTAGATCATAGATTTGCTCGTCTTAAAGTTTATTAAGCATTTTCAAATTGCTCTCCAAAGTAGCTGTGCAAATTTAAATTCCCACCAGCAGTTTATAAACATTGCTATTTCCCCCATATCTTCATCAATACTCACGTTAGACACTAATTTTGCCAATCGGATTGGTGTAATGAGCCATCTCATTATTGTTTCAACTTGCATTTCCGTGTTTACTAGTGATGTTGAGACTCTTTTATATCTTGTTTGGCCTTTCACATTTCTTCCTCTGGTATTTAATCACTTTTTTTTTTTTTTTTTTTTTTTTTTTCCCATTTTCCTATTGCTCTGGAATGTTTTGGTAGATTGATTCTCTGGAGTTATAAAAAACATTGTTTTGGAAACTAATTGTCTCTTGCTCGTATGGATTGCTAATACTTTCTCCTAGCCAGTGGCTTTAAGAAATCTATTCATCTTTTGTCACGCAGAAATAATTGTAGTAAGATTTATCATTTTAAAAATCATTTATGCTTTTTGTGTTTTGTTTAGTTTCTACTCTAAGATCATAAAGTTATTTTCCTCTATTTTCTTGTAAAGTTTTATAGTGTGCTCTTCACATTTAGGACTTTAACCAACCTGGAACTTATTTTGTGAGTGGTGTGAGCAGGGATCCAATTTTATGTTTTCCAATAGGGGTATTCAATTGTTCAACATCATCTGTTAACAAGACCATTTTACCCTTTGTCGTGTTTCACACTCTCCTATATATTTTGATCTGCCCCTAGGCATTATTCTCTGTTCTACTATCTGTTGATCTGTTCCTGGGACCAAATCTATTTTAATTGTTAGAGCTCCATAGTGCCTATTGATACCTGATAGGGGGAGGTTCCCTTCCTCTTCCTCTTTCTTTTTCAAAATTGTCTTGGCTGTTCTGTGTTCTTTATTATTCCATGTACATTTGGGGATGACTCTGTCAAGTTGCCGAGAAAACCCCATTGCAATTTTTATTGGAAATAAAAATGCATAGATTAAATTGGAAGGGCATAGCCAGCGTTGTGGTGGTGAGGCGGCTCCCCATCCATGAACATGGTTTGTTTCTTCCTCTCCTCTGCGTTCCATGCCTTGCACAAAGGACTGCCTTGGAAATCAACCTCCAAACCCTTCTCATTCTTCAGTGCTCAACTGAAATGCTTCCTCCTCCAGTAAGTCCTCCAATGACAGACCTGCCTGTCAAGGCTCTCTGTAACACTCTGGCACCCTTCTGTGTGCTCCATTTTTTGGACACTTAGCACATTGGATCTGATTGAGGGAACCTCTTTTGTGCAGTCTGCACCTCCACCTAGTCTCTGAGCTTCTGAGAAGAAGGGCCGCGTCTCACAGTCTTGTACCCCCAGTAGCACCCAGCACAGAGCAGGTGTTGATTAGGACCTGATGATTGGATCCTATCGCCCAATAGGATGTTAGGATCTCTTCCCCTTAAGGGAAGGTAAGTCTGTAGTAACAGATTCTTCCTCACAGGAAACAACTGGTTTTGTGAGGAAAGGACCTGGTGCTTAGTTTGGAGTCTCAAGGAAGTATAGCTGGCTTGAAATCAGACAGATTTAGCTCTATGTGGTGGCTCTGCCATGTGGGACATTGGCCTCTCCAAGTAAGCTTTTGGCCATGTGTGAGTGGGGGACGATATTCTCAATCTCATAGTGCTATTGTGATTCCGAGCGAGACAATGTAGGAAATGCAGTGTAGGTGTTTTCTGCCTGTTGCCACTTCCCCAGTTTGAGGGAGGTTCAGGAGAGAAGCCCTTCGCTCAGCTGGAGATCATCCACTCCCGCACCTCTAAGACCCTGGAGCACCTTCCCCAAATGTCTGAGCCACTGGCACAAATGGATGCTCTTGGCCTCTGCTCTGCCTCTATCTCTGTCTTCTGACCAGAACCCCTGCTGCTGCTCCCTTTCCCCATGAGCAGAGGGAGTCCTCAGCTCCCTGATGTAACTATGGAAGATGCTTGTACCCTGCCTCCCCTATTCTGCCTCCCAGCACCCAGGTCTCCCAGTGGTCCCCCTTGGTCCTGAGGAAGTTGTTTCCAGGAAATGTCCTTTCCTGGAAAGAAGAGGCTTCCATGGGGGCATCTTTCTCCCCCAAGAGAACTCAAGGGCAATGCCCATCTGGAAGGGACTGGACTCTAAGGTTAAGCACCATGTGCACCTCTTGGAAGAGAGAATTTGGGGCTGTGGGGTGCTTCCTAGCTGAGCCTGGGATTTGGGGTGTGACAAATCTAGGTTCTGATTCATCCCCCGGTCTATCCTTTGGCTTTAGGCAGGTTGACTGAACCAGGACTTAGCTTCCCCGTATATACAATGCATGCACTAATCCTACCTCCCCTGACGGATGAGAAAACCAGAGGGGAGAAAAATGAATGGGATGCAAACAGTAGGTGCTCAGTATGAGGTTGGCCCTTCCCCAACAGGAGATGTCAAGCTTGTAGAGATGGGGGAAAAATGGGGGACACAGGCAAAGATGAGGCAGAATTTATTCTCATTGTGGGTAATTTCAAGAGTCAGGATGGAGACCACATAGAGGCAGGTCCCTAGGACCCTGAGAGGGACCCCACGCTAGAGTCAGGGGCCACACTTTTGCAAGTGCCAGGCCCATGGTGCCTCCATGACTGTGAGGATCCAGAGCCCAGAAACCGGGTAAGAGTGGGGTGGGGGTGGGGAAGAAGACAGGATTCCCCCCGCCCCAGATCGTGTTCTGACCATGTTTCCGACTTCCATAGGAAGGAAGAACAGCTCGGCTATATAGTAATATAATATATAGAGGTGTAGAGAGCTGGCCGCGGCACCTGGATGGGGCTGAGACTCCCCGAATTATTGCAGGAGGGAGAGGGGGCTCAGTGCTGGTGTCCCCGCGGGATAGCTGTGTTGGCTATGGGGAGGGGGGGCAGGGCTGGGGAACTGGGCTCGCCCCTCCCTCTGGGGCTGGCAGGGGGCACACAGTGGGGTTCCTGCTACCCTGTCTGCCAACGGCCTCCGGGTTGGGGCTTTATCACCCTGGGTGCTTTTTATGTGCTTTGAAGACCATTTTTGCATTGTCAGGAGTGAGGAAAAAATATTCTGACATGGTAGAAAAGAGATATTTACATACCCTGGTGGGCCGTAAGGGGGAGGTCAGTGTGAGGGGGTGGGGCTTCCAGGGCACCTCCACCCCCAGCGCCCATGTGGGATGGTGTATGGGGAAAAGAGCCTTGGCCGGAGGCAGGAGCCCTGACTCTACCACTTGGTTGCGGTGCAACCTGGGACGGGGCATCACCCCTCTCTCCAGGCCTCAGTCTCCCCATATGCTACAGAAAGGGCTGGGCTGGGGGCTGAGAAGCTAGGATCCTCTGGTCCCTGATCCTAGGCCTGGGGGACAAGGGGGAGGTGTCAGGGGGCAGTGAAAGGTTAGCGAAGGGACTTTCAGTGAGGAGACCTGGGCCATGGAGGGAAGGCATCAGAGGCTAGAGGGGGTTGCTGAGCCCCTGGCCCTGGCCAGGCAGCCAAGCCCAGCTGAGGGCGTCTCATGTGCTCTGCCATGATGCCTCCATGAAGGCGGCCAGTGGGACTGGCCGGGAACCCTGTTTTCCTGTTGAAGCAGCGGTGGGAGCTGGGTGGAGGCTGCAGGTGGCCTCCTCAGCTAGAGGGAGGACCCAGACCTGAGATACAGCCAGGGTGGGCTCACCCAGGCAGAGATGAGGGTGGGCCTGGTGCTGGTGCAGTTCAGAAGTGGCCCCTGGCTCCAGCCTCCAGGTGTGCGGGGATGTAGGGGTGTGCCTCTCCCCTGTCCCCGTGGGTGCTGGACCTGGTGGTGTCACACACTGAGTTCCCTGCTCACACATCTCCTCATTCATGACACATCATCCACCATCACCCACATGTGCCTCCAGGCTTAACAGATACGCACACACTCATAACATGCATACGTCCATGCTGAGACCCGAAGGGGTGGACACACATGATCACACATTGTTCACTCGGGATCCCCTGACCTTGTGAGATCACCCCCCACCACACACACACACACGCACACAGAGGCAGGCGAGTGACGTCCCTGTTGGACTCTGTGGCGTGGAGGCCCCAGGCTCCGGAAAAGAGAAGGCACCTGCCCTGGGGGACGGGTGTCCTGGCCAGGGTGGTCACCAAAGGCCCCTTCCCAGGCACCTGACCCCTGATAACTCCAGGTCCTGTGGCGAAGCCTTCAGCCCCTCTAGCGCCCGAGAGGAGGGCAGAGGCCTGGGGCCGCCCTGCCTGCTGCCAGCCCCGCACGTCCTCTGCCGCTGGCATGACCTGCGGAGTGTTTGGTGGCCACCTGGGCCTTGCCGGCTGTGCATCAGAGGTGCCGGCGGGGCCCCTGTGTGCTGGTCAGCTGGGCCCGCATGGTCTGAATGCTGCCCAGGATCTTCTTCTGGTGACCCATGAGGGTGATGCCCAGGGCACGCACGTCTCTGTGAAGGAAGGGTGCTGCTGGCCAGCTGGGCCTGGGAGGCTGGGAGCCGTGCATGCAGCCAGGGCCATGGATCTGGACCTGTAGCCTCCCCGGCGGCCCTGCCTCTGGGTCCCCGCCCCTGCCCCCACACGCATGGGCCCCCAGCCCCACCCATCACTCACTGGGCGTTCATGCGTAGCACCATGCCCAGAGAGGAGTAGCCGCCCGCAGCGAAGTGGTCTCGGTACCGGCCCATGCGGATGGAGTCCAGCCAGTCCCCCACGGTGAGGCCCCCGCCGCCACCGCTGCCCCCTCGGAGGTCAAAGCAGCTCCGGGCGAAGGCAGGGGGTGGGCACCTAAGGCACAGGGGCCCTTGGTAAGTGGCCAGGGGGTTCGGGAGGTTGGACCCCCGAGAAGAGGCAGGCTGAGGAAGGGGTCAGGAAGGGCAGGGGCCGGGGGCCCAGGCTGGGCCTGGTCCAGATGTCAGGGCCAAACTGTTCCAGGGACAGATCTGGGGCAATAATGGGAGGCAGCTGGCCCTCGAGGAGCTGGGGTGGGCACGAGGCACCTGCTGACAGTGGCGGTGGCCCTGAGACTGTCCGGGCTGCGGATCAGTGCGTCGAGGACACTGACAATCTGGGAGAAGCGAGGCCGCTGCGCCCGGTCCTTGTGCCAGCAGTCAAGCATGAGCTGGTGCAGGGCGCGGGGGCAGCCCATGGGTGCGGGCAGGCGGTACCCCTCCTCCACGGAGCTGATGACCTGCGGGGGATCAGCGTTGGGCTCAGCCGTCCCTCCTGGCACCCCAAGTCTTCACCGCCTGCGGCCCCGCCAGGGCCCGGTACTCACATCCCGGTTGGTCATGTTCCAGTAGGGCCGCTCCCCGTAGGCCAGCACCTCCCACATGACCACACCGAAGCTCCACACGTCGCTGGCCGAGGAGAAGGTGCGGAAGGCGATGGCCTCTGGGGCTGTCCAGCGGATGGGGATCTTCCCGCCCTGCGATGGACACACAAGAGTCGAGGGGCTGCCCAGGCCTGGCAAGGTGTCCCCCGAGCCCTCTGAGTCAGAGAGCTAAACACTGGGGTTCCGTTTCCCAGTCCAGAGGGACAACACAGCCCCCACCTTCCCAGAGCACCTGTCCTGAGGGAGGCCCCTCAAGAGCTGCTGTGAAGATGAAGGAAGGAAGGAGTGAGATGCCTGGCACGAGCAGGTGCTCAGCCAGTACCAGTCACAAACCAAGGGGGCTCAGGGGCCACAGCCTAGTCGTTTTCCAACTCTTCCTCTTCCTTCTCTTCCCCCACTTCCTTCTCCTTTCTCCTTCCTTCCTTCCTCCCTTCTTCCTTCCTCCCTTCTTTTCCTCCTCCCTTCCTTCTTTTCCTCCTCCCTTCCTTCTTTTCCTTCTCCCTTCCTTCCTCCCTTCTTTTCCTCCTC